CCAGTTTAACAGTGAATATAAATAATGCATATACACATACCTATTTCCCAACTACATTGTTTACAGTGTTATTTCTGTTCATTTTTAGGTAGCATGAATCTTATCAGCACAGAGAGAAAGCTTCACTGAAAACTCATTGCAGGTACTTACTGATAAATTAATAGCTCTGTGGCATGCTTAGGTTTTATCTTTGTTAGTTTAAGAACCTGGAGCTAATTGCTAAACTGTTTAAGGAATTTAAAGATTATAGTCATTAAATTATGACTGTTTATGTCCCCAGTAGCCTAATATAAAACATAAAATTAACTACTGTTTTCCCTACTCATTCTCTTTAAAGCAATCTATTAAAAAAAATTAAAGTCTAAAGGACACTGTCAAATGCTGTTGTTCAGGGCATTGTATTGAGAGTCACAGTGTTATTTCTGTTCATTTTTAGGTAGCATGAATCTTATCAGCACAGAGAGAAAGCTTCACTGAAAACTCATTGCAGGTACTTACTGATAAATCAATAGCTCTGTGGCATGCTTAGGTTTTATCTTTGTTAGTTTAAGAACCTGGAGCTAATTGCTAAACTGTTTAAGGAATTTAAAGATTATAGTCATTAAATTATGACTGTTTATGTCCCCAGTAGCCTAATATAAAACATAACTTAAAATTAACTACTGTTTTCCCTACTCATTCTCTTTAAAGCAATCTATTGAAAAAAATTAAAGTCTAAAGGACACTGTCAAATGCTGTTGTTCAGGGCATTGTATTGAGAGTTAGGACTTCTCTCGTTAATTAAAAAAAAAAAAAATCAAAAGCATGCTTTTCATTCTGTCCAAATTACCACATGGCAAATCAGCCACAAGTTGCTGTTAGCTTGTTTGGTGCTATAATTTGTCACAAAAATGATTAGGTCTGAATTCATTATTTTAAAATTAATCACATTTCAGTATACGACCTCGAGATCTCCTTTATTTCACCAGTTTAAATTCATATTTGAGGTTTATCACTCAGAAATAATATTGGTGGACATTTAAATATGGTATTTGATATGAAAATGGTATTCACAGAATACAGTCGTTACACTATTTTTGTACAATATTTTTGTATAAACAGTTGGTGTGTAGTAGATAATTGGCCACATGTCCACTCATCATTGATAAATCTATTTACACGTTTTTATCAAAAATATGGTATTTACATATGTGTAGTTCTTTCTTCTAAATTTTGCTTTAGTTCATTTTAATGTAAAAAAATACCAAACCTCCAGAGTAATTTAATCTTCTTAAAGAAATCACGACAGTGAGGTCTTTATTTTCTGAACAGGCAGCTCTGGGAAAACTTTTTCTAGGTTTCATGAAAGCTAGACAGTTTTGTCTCCTCTATTATCACAACGAATGAGACTGGGTAAATCAAACTAAGCTAAAGAAAAACAGGAAAGACAGTGCAGCTACTTAAAACATGGAAACTGATCAAGAGTGACTAAACCACTTCCCATTTCCCCAGCGTATATTTGGAAATTCATTGCTAAGCAGCGATGCTACCCCATCCTGTTGTGACTTCCCCGGAGTCCCCTGTTCCGATCCTACATCCTCATATAACTAGGGGTTTGGGTGTTTGACAGGCAGCCTGGCACAGGTAGCCTATGTGGAGCTCTGGGAGGAGCGGTCGTCGTGTGGGCTCCCATCGGAATTTTCTGTCTCTCCCTCGGAGATCACCTGCATGGGCGTGTTGTACATCCGGCAGCGGACACTGTAGCGGCTGCTGCTGGCCGCAGGGGGTGCCCGGGAACGTCCAACCCTTGCCGATGCTGAGGTGGCAAAGTTCTTTGAGGAAAACCCTTCAGCATTAACTCGTGGGGAGCATGGTGAGAGAGGGGACAGTGCCTCGGCCCCAGGTGACCCCTGATGGGCATCATCGGTGCTTTGAGGGGACTCGGCTGTGAGCTCCCCAGGAGGTTTGGGCAGGATGGGACTCTTCAGGATCTCAGTGGCAGACATGCGGTAACTGGAATCTGAGCGACTGCCTTTCTTGAGGAGTAACAGCTTAAACTCTTCGTTTGATGTGTTGGACTTTTTGGCATTTCGGTAGATGAGACCAGGAGACCTCTGGCTGTTTGGGGTTGTCACATTGCTGCTGGGTGAAGTGACAGAACTGGCGCTGCTGCTGCTGCTGCTGCTGCTGCCAAGGGGAGCTCTCGATTTGCTTCGAATAGACGTGTCCCCGGAATCTTTTCTTCCAAGTACTTTCCTCTTAGATCTTTTAAGAAAAGGAAAAATGGGGCAAAAATCTCAGTCCACATACATTTCTAAGAAACAAAGTGTTCAGTCACATTCATGCATCTATTTAAAGAGCATTTTCAGTGCATTCACATGATAGGACACCAAGCATTGGGGCTACAGAGGTGAGGAGTAAGATACACTCTTTGCCCTTGTAGCACTCACAGCCCGAGGGAAAGTCTCTGAGAACCAGCGGACACAAATCAGGTTTGGGAGATGACAATTTCAGATCATGGCTGATGTGGAGGCTGGAGGTTCCAGAGGACTTATTGGGATGTTTTGCAAGAGTTTAAGAAAATACTGCTATCTGACTTCTGGTCACAGTGTGCTGAAGAACTGTAGCTTTTTCTTATTAAATCTGTCTCTGCAATACAGGCAAAATGCTCTGGTGGGCGGGATTGGCTTCCAAATAATACCAGAAGGAGCAAGTGCATGGAGGTGTGTATGGGACAGGACTGGCCATAGTTTGATGGTTGATAGGCTTTGGTGATGGCTATGTAGGGAGGCATTAGATTATTCTTGTCTACTTTTTTCAGTACTTCTACATAAGAATAAATTAAATGGCTTTTTAAATAAATCGATCCATCTTTGGCTGCAAATACCACTTCCCATAGCTTCTTAGGAACATCCACAGCATATTAAGCAGTGAACCGACTCTCTGTGAGGAACTGAAAACCTAGACCATCTCTGGAACTCTTAAAGAACTGTAAGCTCTCAAGAAAACAAAATAACTCTTGTCACTGTGGTATAAATAAATAAGCAAATAAATAAATATACCCTACACAAATGCAAATCTAAGATTACCAAACTCAATAACTCTACTGAACCTCGACCCCCATCATCATACTATTGATCTTCTTTTGATAAGTAAGTAGGTGTGAATTCAGTGAATCATCAGTGTAACTCACTTCATTGAAAAGTATTGGCAACATGCTCGCTCTCACCAACATAGAAATCCACAGGGCAGGGAAAATGAAAGCTTTGCAATTGGAGACCAGCCTGATTTTGGTGCACTGACACCTCTGTGGTTGATATCTTGCATATGCCAGTGTATGGCACTCCAATAAGGTAGTGTTTTCAATCTAACATTTGCTTTTAGCATCTACCATATTCTAGACATGAAAATATTATTTTATCATCAAAATCAAATATGTGAGCTATGGGTATCCCCGTTTACAGTAAGGGAATAGCTCCAGAGGTTTTAACTTATTCAAGACAGCATAGTAAGTGGCAGAACTGGGATTCAAATCCAGGTCTTTCTGACTCTACTACTTACGTCCTGTCCACTATTCCAGACGCTAGCACCTGGTTCTTTGGGGTTGAGTACCTGGCTCTTTAACGTACATAGCATTTTAGTAATTTGTCCTGGGGTTGAGGATAAACTATGGGGGCTGGGGGAATATAATCGGAGTTTAGACTAGACATAGAGGCAAAGAAAATTAAACTAATGATTCTTCACCCTCTGAGCAGAGAAGTGTGCCTACTAAGGTATACATAGAAGGTGTTTCTGACTGGCTCCTTTACAAAAGTTATTGAAAAGCAGTGCTCCTTCTTAATGAGAGAACAATGTCAACAGAAAACAGAAGTTCCTTTAAAAACTAGAGTCCCAGCAAGAGAAAAGATTGTAAGCTTCTTGCAGAGAGTTTACTTCAAAAACGATAACTTCATGAGGTAGAAAAAATAATCCCCAAGTGCTGTCCCTTGGGAGTTCCATCTAGGTCCCCGAGGCCTAATATCAGAAGGCAGTCATGTTTGTGAAATGGGTAGGCACATCATGACTGGCTAGCTCAGTTGGATGTGGGTTCAGTTTCCAAGGGCTAGTTCGTGCTGTGTTCTTTGGTGACCAGCTCTAACGAGTATGCTTGAAAATATAGGCCACTGATCACAAGGGTTCAGGGGCCCAGATGAGAGTGTACATGGGCAGTGTGCACACAACACTGTCCTGGAAAAGCAACCCAGAGGACAGCCCCTATTCGTGGGATGTGGGCATTATTGTTGGAGTTGAAGGCCAGTACTATTAAAGAAATTTCAGTTTTAAGAAGAGAGGAAGAAGGGGAGCAATAATTAGTTGTTCTGAGCTATGGAATGAGCAGGTATATTTCATCTCGTCTCAAACGTGGGGCTGTGATTGTTTTGGTGAATCAGCGTTGGTTTGTCTCTCGTAGTGTATGATTACAGCTTTGAGCATATTTTTTAGGCTTAAAAAAATTATCTAAAAGTGAGAGATTACACTAGAGTTTGAGCTTTCACTCTAAGTCACTCAACCACAAATGGTTTTCATGTAAGAACATGTTCCAGAATATCTTTCCTTGGAAAAAAAGCCTAATATCTTTTCTCAGCAGTTCTCATGAAAGTCTCTCAATTGAGGTCTATCTAAATGTATAGAAAGATTCATACTTCCTAACTTACATATAAATCTACCAATTTGATTTGGAAAAATAATTCTTCTTTGCCTGCTTTTGCTTTTGCTGAATGAATTACTAGTGTGAAAGGCTTTCCCATATTTGCATTTGATGAGAAGCACTTTAAGAAGCAAAGCCTTTGTTGTGCCTTTGGTTTCCGGGCACTTGGTAGTGCTGCCTCACCTGTGAATGACTGCAAATAAATCCTCAGTTGTTCGAGGTTTGTTTGGAGACACGAACACACCCTCCGCTTCGGCTTGAGAGTCTTCACTGAGTGGGGAAATGACGGAGTCATCGCTCGGTGATGATTCTTAAAATGAGAACAGAAACATCTTTAGGAGGAAGTTATTCAGTTACCTTACTGCCATTCTTAAAAATGAGATTATCTGTCAATGCTTAGTCCCTCAGTAACAAAAGCTTTTACCTCGACTGTTTTAATAAGTGGAAAGAAACAGCGAGGCAAACCATCACCCAGGGCCATACACTATTGTGAGGAGTGTAAGAAAGAAAAACTTCAGGAAGTGCCATGAGATGCATTTCCATTGTGACAAAGGTATCAACGACTGACCTTTCAATGAAGCCTCATCCACACCTTCTGGGGTCTCCTCTGCTCTGCCGTTATCAGAGGCACTTTTGGGTGAAATACCTGAAGCAATATTTTCCTGCTCAGAACATTTTTCAAGGAATGGATTTACAGTTGTCATCTCTGATTCACAGCTGATATTCCCAGGCACTTTGTTGTGGTGGCGGCTTATAACGAGTTGATGCTTAAGCTGACTGCTTAAGTCTGCTGCTCTAGTTGGTGAGTTTGACTGAGATGTGATTGCATCCCCAGATACAAATTGTGAGACTTCCTCGCGATCTACAGAGGATGCCTTCTGTACCTGCTCTCGGATTCCATC